GATGTGTTTGGTGTTGCAGGGTACCCAAGTGAAAGACGTCCTCATTAAGCCTGAAGCTCCTGACACACTGCTGCTGGACAAACATGCAGACTACATCGCTGCCTACGGCTCCAAGAAGGATGACTACGTGAGTTGTACATGTTTCTTCTATTATATGCACATGTGTCCACTTACTTTTGTGTACTTTTTGCTTGTGTGAGCTGTGGAGGAGAGTGTTTTTCTGTGTCTGCAGGTTCGTAAAGAAATGTTTTCCCTCAGTTTGTTGTGGAGGAACTCAATCCTGTCCAAACAACACCCTTTGTGATGAGCTGGAATGAAATGATTTTACTTTATTTGTACTTTTATTCTTAGGGTTGAGGTTCTTCATTTTAGTTTAATGTATGTAATGAATGTTTTGTATCTTGTATGCTACTGGATACGTGAATTTCCTCGCGGATAGGAAAAAGTATCTATCTATCTAATTATCTATCTATCTATCTATCTATCTATCTATCTGGAACATCTACTGTGAGCCAGGCTTTATCAGCAAACATCAGTGGCCCGACTTCACTGGTGCTCTTGTCGCTGAATCGGAGCAAATCCCTGCAGCCAGACGCCAAAATGTTATTTCAAGTCATTAAAAAAATATTTGTATATGTGAATCACTAATTCATTTAGGAATATGCAACATCTAATTGGACACAGAGTTCCTCCTGACGGGTAGACAGTGCGGGTGATAATGCAGGAGAGCCCTCTTATCATTTGAGTTGATATTTTGCTTTAGTCGTGCATCAAATGGGCAATGAATCAAATAGTGAATTGGGGGCATCTATAGCGGCCCCACGCCCTGGGTCCACCTCCAGTGTGGCTAACCTTCACAGGCCTCTGTTGGAGCGGTGGATTGAGGTAACAAACCAAAAATGTATTTTGTTCTGATTCAAGAGCTGCTGGAAAAACAGTTTCAGTTTATCTGTGCTCCTCATGTGTTTCACCTTAACATTATAAGTAGGCTTACAGTCTGCATACATGTGCAGTGTCAGTATAAGAAATCCAGGTGGAAACCAGAGTACCAACCTCAATACACCAGAAGAAAAAACAAAAGTTATACTACTAATATTTCTTGAATAAAGTCTTTTTTTTTTCTCCAAAAAGTTAGATGTTTTTTTTGTTGTTGTTGTGGTTGTTTTGTGAAAGATGTTCTACCACATTTATTTGTGTCCCTTTATAATTTCTAATGACTAAATCTGCTTTCGGGGGTAGAAAGCAGTAAGATGGCAGATATTACCTAATAATTCTCATTGTATTAATGGTATAATTTCTATTTTATTGATGTAAATATTCCAATAATATGCCCTTTTCTCCAGTCAGCAACCTTAAGTACAATGTATTTATTGTTATGTGTGAATAGAAAATGGTTTTAACTTTAAATATCTGTGCTTATACCATATTATTTATGGTAATAAAGCTGCTGTATTATTTTAGATTTCACTCTGCATGTAACATTTTATATAAAGCTTTTATTTTATTCCTTAAACAAAGTTCAAGAATTCCACAATCATATTCTTTTAATACATAACCCTTTTCTCTGGACTGCACAGTAAACAGGTCGTGCTCTCCTGTTCCTTCATGTCCTGTTTGTGTTCAGGAGTACACGCTGTCGGAGTACCTGCGGATGAGCGGGATCTACTGGGGGCTGACAGTAATGGACCTGATGGGGCAGCTGCCCCGGATGAACCGGCAGGAGATCATAGACTTCATCAAAGCCTGTCAGCACGAGTGTGGGGGCATCAGCGCCAGCATCGGACACGACCCCCACCTGCTCTACACCCTCAGCGCCGTCCAGGTGACTCTTAAGACAGTCGACATGAAATTTGACAGACTGACAGACTTAGTCAATACTTTTTAATTCATTCTAATCCTGGATGACGCACAGGACTGTGAAATAAATGTGGTGCTCATCGATTTTTATTCATTCATTTCCTCTGACTCTTATTGTCGTTTTCTAGCAGTTCCTCTGTTTAATACTGTATATTTTACTCTCTTGAGAAGCCGTATAGCTGACTCTTCATGATTAAAGTGATCAAAACGTTTCAGTTTGTGTGTTAGCGGTTTGTAAATCAGATAGATTTGCTCTGCAACCTTTGTGTTTTTTCTGGGTTTTTGACGTTTTATTTTTGGTTTAAATGTACTACAGGGAGTTTTTAACTGGTTATATTACAGTCTCAATTTAATACTGAAGCCTCTATCGGACTTACATAAGCACATCAGTGAGAAAATTGGTTATTTCTATGTAGTTATTCTTAATGCCTGCCACCAGGTCGGATTCGTTCAGATTCCTCTTGAAATCAATGAAACAAGGTGGAAACACTACCACTTTTGGACACAGGGGCCGCCAGAATCAACAAAAAAAATAAAGTTCCTTGTTGTAGCTTTAATTTGTGTATTTTTATAAAATCTCTCCGTCAGATCCTGTGCTTGTATGACAATGTGGATGCCCTTGATGTGGACAAAGTGGTGGAATACATTAAAGGATTGCAGCAGGAAGACGGCTCCTTTGCAGGGGACAAATGGGGTGAGCAAGATGTACTTTGAAACACAGTATGCTTGTATATATTTGTACAAATACACAACTATTTGTCATATGGGGCTTGTAGCTAAAATACTAATAAAAAGTATTGTACTCATTTATTTAAATTCTAGTTTGGTTTTAATATAATATATTCAAATAGTGAAATGCTGTATTATTTTATAATTCCAGGAGAAATAGACACACGATTTTCCTTCTGTGCTGTTGCTACACTTGCATTACTGGTATGTATATCATGTACACTGTTTGTCAAGTTTTTCTCTTTACTCAACACTTTATTTACACTTTATAATTCATATAATAATATCTGAAGATGACTTTCTTTCTTCCAAGGGTAAGATGGACACAATCAATGTCGACAAAGCTGTAGAGTTCGTCTTGTCCTGTATGAACTTTGACGGAGGTTTTGGCTGCAGACCTGGTTCAGAGTCTCATGCTGGTCAGGTGAGTCCACTGATGTACTCTCACAGTCAAAGACAATCTGTTGGAGTTCCTGTTCTTTCATTTCTTTTTAAACAAAAGCAAAAACAGTTGAAGCTTAAACTTAAACTGAAGGTAAAATTGAAGAAATCAGATGTTAAGGTGCTAGTTTCCACATAAAAGTTCAGACAGTTAAATTATTATTCACACCTCACAAATGTGAGGCTGCCGGCTGTTCTCATGGGAGGGAGTCTGACTCATAACTGAGAGGTTGTCAATCCCCGAAACTAACACGATGAAATGTTCTCGCTCTGGGAGGTGGCTGCTATCACATTTACACCCCTCTTGAGCAGTGACGTGTTAAAATCCTTCTCAAATGCAGTTTCTCAAGTCTTTTCCTCCTTCTGTCTGTCAGATTTACTGCTGCACTGGTTTCCTGTCGCTCACCGGTCAGCTGCACCAGGTGAACGCTGACCTGCTGGGCTGGTGGCTCTGTGAGAGGCAGCTGCCGTCCGGAGGCCTCAATGGACGGCCGGAGAAGGTTTGTGCTTTGTACTGGTAAATCGAATGCAACATTGTCATTGTTTAACCTTTTTTAAATGTCTAAAACATTGTTGGATTAATGAAGTTAAGTGCGTAAAGCTGAATTTAATCTTGCATTTAAATGTTTTTTTGTGAAAGATTTGTATTGATCATGCTGACACAACCACAAAAAGAAAACCAACAGAACCAGTACTGATTTTCCTTCATACAGATTTTTGGCAATATGCACCTAAAATAGGTCTTACGTTACATTAAATTGCAGTCTTAAATGTTAAAGGATACAGTTATAATCACCTCACAAAGTCTGCCATGTTTCTACAGTAGCCTACAACGGGCTGTCATTTAAGTCCCCTCTGTGCTCTGTAGTGTGTATTTATCATCATCAGTTAACATTCAACAACACTTGTTCCTGGTGTTTGTTGTGGCCACAGTTCATCAGCCGCTTGCAGAGCCTTAATTCCACTGGTCGTACCTCCAGAATAGCAACAAGAAGCAGCCAACTGCAACCATCAAATAAATCCTAGTTTACTTGAACTTCCCCCGAGCTACTGCAAAGGCACTGAAGCCAAGACTTTAATTACCGCAGATGTTCCAATTACTGACCCAACTCTTTGTCTCATCCAGCTCCCAGACGTGTGCTACTCGTGGTGGGTTCTGGCGTCGCTGAAAATCATCGGCAGGATCCACTGGATCGACAAGGCCAAGCTGCGGACGTTTATTCTGGCCTGCCAAGACGAGGAGACCGGAGGTTTTGCTGATAGACCGGGAGACATGGTGAGCTGTCCAACACGTCTAACTCTCGCACTCTGAGATGGAAAGGGGGAAACGCGTTAGAGCGAAATCCACTGTACATTTACTGTCAGGTTCTCGACTGCACTGCTCAGCTCGCGTTCACTGTCACACTCTGCCACACACTCACTATGCGACTCACCATCCACAATGGGAAACCAAACAGCTGTGTATTTTTTTCAACCAGTGAAAAGGTATGAGATAAAAGTTGTCTTGCAGTAGATTCACAGGGACCGTCTTACGTCTGGGACTAGTATTTAATGAGTTTCAGAAATGCTGTGTATGGAATTGATAAAGGCTCATTATTTCAGTTCTTTTACTGAAAATTAAATTTTATCAACAGAAAACCCAAGGAATCACAAAACCTAGCTATGAATTATGTAAATAGTGTATTCAATATCAACATTCCTAGTTTTATATAAACTTTATAAACTTGCCAGTGCTGCAAGATGCAAATACCAGAGAGGATCTTTATTATTAAGGAGTGCGAGAGCTCATGTTCGTCCACCGTTGGAGCCAATATTACTTGATGAACATCTTCATATGTTTGCATCACTTAAATCTCTCTCTCTCTCTCTCTCTCTCTCTCTTCTTCTCTCTTCTCTCTCTCTCTCTCTCTCTCTCTCTCTCTCTCTCTCTCTCTCTCTCTCTCTCTCTTCTTCTCTCTCTCTCTCTCTTTCTGCAGGTGGATCCGTTCCACACTCTGTTCGGAATTGCCGGCCTCTCGCTTCTCGGAGATGAACAGATCAAGCCGGTGAATCCCGTTCTGTGCATGCCCGAGGACGTTCTTCAGAGGGTCAATCTGCAGCCTGATCTCCTCAGCTAGCGCCCCCCCCTCCCCTCCCATTGTCCCACCGCACGCACACACACACAAACAACATCTGCCCTGCTGAACGCCATTCAGCCGCACCCTGACTACCACGGCTGGATGCTGGGAGCAGAGAGAGGACCACCGCACATCTTAGTGTTAGCTGAAGTCTACAGACGCATTTTAGACGCAGGATTTGGTCTCCGCTCACAGGGACTTTCTGTCTTTGAACCCTCAACCTCTCATTTTGTCATCATGTCACTTATGTTGGTTTTACAGCAAGAGAACGGTTTGAGAAAGAGATGTTTTAAAAGTGTAACCTTTGTTGCAAAAGCCAAGAAATCATTAAAGAGCATTCCTTAACTTTTTGACTAACTCACTATGTCAGTTTGTCTGAAGGAAAATGTTACTTATCTCTTCTCATTCTCTCATCACCCTTTTTCAGCTTGCCAACTAGCCAAGGAAGGTATTACTGTAGTTCATTATTGGCAGAGGACAGGCATTGATTAATGTGCGTTGAGCTTGAAACAGAATAATTATGCATGATGAAGTCAGGAATGCGGTTTTGGACCTTGAGCCTGTTTTAAAGACACCACATCACTTTTTTTTCCTTATTTTGTTGAAGGATATCAACCTTTTTCATGCACCAACTATTTTAAATGAAATAACTTGGACGTTTGAAAAGTCGGAGCATGTGAAGGGCAAACTATCCTCGCCCTGTTTACACTCGTGCAATCTTACCAACACTGTTCTGATAGGCCCCGAAACTGGAGATGCAACACAGGACTTGTTGCAAACAAAGTTTTATTCATGTCAATGCATTAAATAACATCAGTGTACAGTACAGAAGGAGAGTTTTTAACATTTCGGCTACACTATTTATTTAAATCCGTTACTCAATCCAGCTTCTTTGTGCAGCTGTGGGCAGACACACTGTGCATAAAACTATTTCCAGTCTTATGTTTTGATGTTTGATGTCTGATCTTTGTGTTGCTGCACTCTTGTTGTCTTACTGATTACACATTGTATCTGTTGTGATAACTACAGTGTGTTGACATTGTTACAGATTGTAAATAAATGAGGTTGGACCCAATTTAGATGACTGGTAATTAATGGAATAATTGACATTATTGCAAAATGAATGCAAAGTCATTACAAAATGCTGTATTGTGACCATAATCCGTTTAAATCACAGTTTTCAAGAAATTCTGTTGCTTTAAGATGATTAAGAAATCCCCCTCCAGCTTTAACCCAAGAAGCTGCTTACTGTTGCACAACTGCAACCTATAATCAGGCACTCCTTGACAAATAACATATTTTCGTGATTTAAATAGAAATTCATTGTAAATATTTAAACACAGCCTAGGATACGGAACATAAAGCACAGTATGTTCAGCAAACATTAATGCACAGTTGTGTTTTATGTCTAAATTGAACAAAAATAAAAAAAACTGGCGTGTGCAAAAGTGTTTCCCCTAAACTTAATTCATTCAGTTTATTCAATGCACTTAAGGAGTTTAAGGCCTGGGGCATTGTCTACAGTTGTCATTAGGAGATGTCAGCTGGTGACTCTTTAAACCTTGTGTAAACACTCAGCAAACGTGGGTTCCTATAAGTACATGCCCACAATGCAGAGGAAAGCTACAAGAAGATATCAAAGTGTTGTCAGCTTGCAGTTTCCACAGTGTCAAATGTAATTAAGAGATGGCAGTTGAGGGAAACGGTGGAGGTCAAGAGGAGATCTGGAAGACTAAGAAAACTCTGCTCGTATTGGAGGTTAAGAAAGGCAAATCCAAACCCCCAATGTGAATGCAAAAAGCCTGCAGGAAGAGAGTTCAGACCAACAGAGCTGCTTGCACAAACAAAACTTTCATGGAAGAGTCAGTAGAAGAAAAGAGTACCTACATCCACATCATGAAATCAAATGCCAGAAGTATGCAACAGAGCATTTTACAAAAATATGTCCATGTCTCAATGTGTTAGCAAACTGTTATTCAGCAAAAAAAAATTGATTATTCTAACCTGTTTAATTTTTCTCACAGTATATCACCAGATCACTCCCACTGAGGTTTTCTGAAGGACGAAATGGAGAAAAAGGCAGCTGCCCAGCTGGTTGACATAGTGGATCAAGCTGTTTGTTTGCTGCATATATTTGCTTGTAGGATTTTTTTTTAATTAGCGCTTCCAGTATTTACTGTCTTGGTAGATTTGTATGTGTTGGTAGCTTGATGGTGAATGAATGTTTAATAAAAGTGTGGATGGCCAAAACAAAATATAAAAACCAGCTTGCGTGAAAAACCTTTCACTAAGACAAAAGTCCCAAGCAGGATTTAAACAGTAGCTGCCACTAGATGTCAGCCTTACCATTCAAAATGGCTTCACTGTATGTAGATGCCCTCACATACAGTAAGTGTTAATTTGTCACCAAGGATCCTGGTGCTCCTGGAGGACTGTTAATGATGTGACTGCAAGCAAAACATTTAATTACAGGTTTTAGGTTTTGAAATGAATGTCTCATAAATAAAGTGAGATGGAGATTGATGAAAAAACCTGTATGGAAAGTGTAACTGTGAGGTACTTGTAGCCTATATTTAGGTTACCTAAAACACTTTTACATTTTCTAATGTACATCACATCCATACATATTCATGCCAGAGAGGCTGTGATAATAACGCTGGCTCTCCAGAAATGCTGCAACTGCTACAGTATGAGATATTGTGCTCCATAGCCGTGGCAGATTGTAATAATGTAGCAGTGTAAAGATTGATTTACTCCTCCTGAGTAATTAGAGGCACGTAATTCTCTCCTACCTGTTTTCCTCCATGTAATAAAGATAAAGACTCCCCCTGCAACGTACAGCCTGATAAGAAAATGACACTCTACCTGGAACAATTTCTAACAATGACTTTGATAAAATGTCAGTCTACTGATGATGGATAACACTAAATACGTGGAACATCATTATCTCCATGCGCTAATTGCTGCATCATGATAGAGGGAGACACCATTTAATATTCTGATGCACTTCTGGATTCCTGAGTCCCTTGTGGTCGCTTTTTTTTAGTTTAGATTTGGCTTAATAACCAGAAATATCAGCAGTCACTTCACACACATGCTTTGGTTCAGGCCCCTGTTTTGTGGATGATGTGGTAGTTGCGAAGGCAGTCATATTCCAGGGAGCTGGCCTGTGCCACCCTGGCCAACCCTGTGGTCCTGCCCCTTTTCCTACTACATGCATTTTTCATTATGTGTTATTCTCAGTGCAGCGTGGACCTGCAAAATATATACTGGCAGCCCTGTGAGTTTTGTATTTATTTGCTTATTTATTAAGTCGATGGGGGAGCAGTAAGCTGTGGGCCCCTGGTGTCTGGGCAGAGACAAACACGCTGGTTGTTAGGCTACTGAGAAACCCCACCGGCTCTCATTAGTGAGGAAGAGAAAGATGAAGAGAAAGACAGAAGGTGGGAGAGAGGAAAAAAAGAAAAGTGGGAATGAGAGATAGAGGCATACAGCGAGAAAACCAGAGAGGGGAAAAGAAGCAGAAAGACAGATGGATGGATCACAGCTTTCACCTCTCAGTCTTGTTTGTTTGCAGGGAAAGCCGCAACCCATTTTTCCTTCCTCTCCTTTCTCAGTCCTGTCACCCTCTTGTTATCTCTCAGCACAAAATACGGAGGATTAGTCAAGGCCACAGGGGCTGGAGCCAAATGCTGCTGATCCACAGGCGCAGCAGACAATCACTTAATAAATGTTTAATTAAACCACTGCAGTGTTGTATGTGAGTGTACAGATGACTCACGAGTTTGGTGGAAAATGGAAACGCTTTTAAAAAAGTCTACACGAGAGATTGGTGTTTCACCCAGTTTGTGGTTATTATCAGGGACACAGTGTGACATGTTGATATGTTTTGCCCCCAACAGCTCTGCCAGATCTGATTTAATGGAAGATCTGTGTTTGGAGAAAGTTTATTTTCACTGAATTCCTCACTTCACTGCAGAGTTTTTTTTATTTTTACCTATCAAGTTGCTGCAGTTTCGGTTGACAGAGCAGTGTTGGTGGAGTTGCTTTGGTCAAAGTTCTGCTCTCCTCTGACAAACCTGTCACACATTTAGGTGTAAATATAGATGTACAGCGCTTTGGTAAAGGTGGGAAAATATTAGCTGATGTCTAAAATCTCACAACAAAAACTCTAAGGAAGCTAAAGTTCAGCAATGGTCTGACTGAAGACGAACAAAACTTTTATATTGCCCGAGAATAATAAATTGATCTCTGAGATGTGCTGAGGCCACACGGGCCTTCTCTCTGTTGGAGAAAACATGGTTAAATATGCAGCTCATGTCAGGAAAGACGATTATTTTACATCTGAGCTAAGAGAATTTACTTTTAAGGAATAGTTCAACATTTCAGGAAATAATGGTTCTTTGCTTTCTGGCAGGAAGTGAAGAGAATGAGCACAAGGCCGGGCTAAAGTTTCCAGAGCAAACACCCCATTTTCCCTCTTTGGCTGAGCTGCCCCGTCTAGAGAGAAAAAAACATATATTTTTGCTGTTGTGGCTGCATAAATACGAGTAGCCCAAATTTGCTAAGTTAGACCAAATTAAATCGACCAAATCCAGATTTTCAGAATAAAATATTGCTGAAAAAACTGCTTAATAACAGAAAAAAGGAAAACATTAAACACAAGACAAACATAAAGCGAGAGATTAATATAAGCAGGCATAATATTAAATATTTCACATAAGTTGATAGTTTTGTGGTAATTGTTTGTTACACATTTTTAAATGTGAAAGTGTTTGAAGATATGTTCTGATCTGAAATGTAATTTAAGATGATCAAAAACTAAAATCTGCTGCCGTTGTGTCAGGGCCCTGGGTACATCTTTTGAAGTTGTGGAAATAAAACTTCAAATAAGAGTAGTGTCTGTATATAGAGGCAGTTGCCCTTTACTAGCCTGGTGTGGCTACACGTCTTGGCAAATAAATACATCGCTCTTCATTAGACGTGTAGTCTGGATTTTATAACGAAATCTTTTGGAAAACCCACCAGGTTGCCCTTGAGTGAGTTCAAAGCTGGCACATAACCCCCCGGTAAAACCACAGTGTGTTGTTTTTACACTTTGGTTTTTGTACGGATTAAACAAACTAAATATAACATGTGAGTTGGCAAGTTTTAGAAGTGCTTGTAGACATTTTTACTTTAGAATTTTAGGATAAAGTCAGGCTAGCTGTTTCAAGGTTTCTGCCTGTTGAAAGGAAGTTTTTCCATGCCACTATCACCAAGTGATTGCTCATGGTGGGAATTGTTGGGTCTCTGTACATTTCTTATAAGGAGTACAGTCTAGACTATTTGAAAAGTGTCCTGAGATAAATTTTGTTATGATTTGGGGCTATAAAAATAAAACTGAAATTAATATTTATTGTACAGACATAAAAGTGGGATCAGTCTTCTCACTTTACTTTCGACAGGAAATCAAATATGTGTCTTGATCACATGTTTTTTGATCCGGATCCCAATGTGAGTCCATTATACAATATTTATTTTTTATTTATGTAGCTGTGCAGTGAACACAGCTTCATAAACCGACATGCAAATTAGTAATGTACTTTAAATATGGTTGACAGTAGAAACAAGACTCTGCATCATATATGTGTACTTATATAGGCTACTTACACTACAAGTTTCCTTTGATGGTTTTATATTGTGTTTACAGTATAGTGTCTAAAAGTATTATGTATAACATTTGAATATGAAGCTTTAGGGTCTAGACAGCATGTATTATTATGTATTATTAGTTATGGTTCATCTGCAAAATTCTGCTTAAAAATATGTAGAATTACTAAGAAATATGTGTTTTTTTTGTCAATATAGGCAGAAGGGTGATTGTAAATATATGATTGCAGATATGCACTTGAGAAGATTAGAGTGGGAAGATACAGCAAAGATTCACAGATAAAAGAATAAAGACAACACATAAAGGAAAAGCTTAGGCAAAAACTGAAAAATATAACCCACATCTTAAGTGTCAGGCAGGAGTAATATTTCATATGACAATATAAATATTGTTGCTGGATTAAACAGTGATACTGCTCTTGA